ATGAGGAGGAGGATGAGAAGGAGGAGGATGAGAAGGAGGAGGATGAGAAGGAGGATGAGAAGGAGGATGAGAAGGAGGAGGATGAGAAGGAGGAGGATGAGAAGGAGGAGGATGCGAAGGAGGAGGATGAGGAGGAGGATGAGAAGGAGGAGGATGAGAAGGAGGAGGATGAGAAGGAGGAGGATGAGAAGGAGGAGGATGAGAAGGAGGATGCGAAGGAGGAGGATGCGAAGGAGGAGGATGAGAAGGATGATGAGGAGGAGGAGGATGAGAAGGAGGATGAGGAGGAGGAGGATGAGAAGGAGGAGGATGAGAAGGAGGAGGATGAGAAGGAGGATGAGAAGGAGGAGGATGAGAAGGAGGATGAGGAGGAGGAGGATGAGAAGGAGGAGGATGAGGAGGAGGAGGAGGAGGAAGGAGGAGGAGGAGGAGGAGGGAGGAGGAGGAGAGGAGGAGGAGGAGGAGGAGGAGGAGGAGGAGGAGGATGAGAAGGAGGAGGATGAGAAGGAGGAGGATGAGAAGGAGGATGAGGAGGATGAGGAGGAGGAGGAGGAGGAGGAGGAGGAGGAGGAGGAGGAGGAGGAGGAGGAGGAGGAGGAGGAGGAGGAGGAGGAGGAGGGGAGGAGGAGGAGGAGGAGGAGGAGGAGGAGGAGGAGGAGGAGGATGAGGAGGAGGAGGATGAGGAGGAGGAGGATGAGGAGGAGGAGGAGGAGGAGGAGGAGGAGGAGGAGGAGGAGGAGGAGGAGGAGGAGGAGGAGGAGGAGGAGGAGGAGGAGGAGGAGGAGGAGGAGGAGGAGGAGGAGGAGGAGGAGGAGGAGGAGGAGGAGGAGGAGGAGGAGGAGGAGGAGGAGGAGGATGAGAAGGAGGAGGATGAGAAGGAGGAGGATGAGAAGGAGGATGAGAAGGAGGAGGATGAGAAGGAGGATGAGAAGGAGGGAGGTGAGAAGGAGGAGGATGAGAAGGAGGATGAGAAGGAGGAGGATGAGAAGGAGGATGAGAAGGAGGAGGATGAGAAGGAGGATGAGAGGATGAGAAGGAGGATGAGAAGGAGGATGAGATGAGAAGGAGGATGAGAAGGAGGAGGATGAAGAAGGAGGAGGATGAGAAGGTTGAGGATGAGAAGGAGGATGAGAAGGAGGAGGATGAGAAGGAGGAGGATGAGAAGGAGGAGGATGCGAAGGAGGAGGATGAGAAGGAGGAGGATGAGAAGGAGGAGGATGAGAAGGAGGATGAGAAGGAGGAGGATGAGAAGGAGGAGGATGAGAAGGAGGATGCGAAGGAGGAGGATGAGAAGGAGGATGAGGAGGAGGAGGATGAGAAGGAGGAGGATGAGAAGGAGGAGGATGAGAAGGAGGATGAGAAGGAGGAGGATGAGAAGGAGGATGAGGAGGAGGAGGATGAGAAGGAGGAGGATGAGAGGAGGAGGAGGAGAGGAGGAGGAGGAGGAGGATGAGAAGGATGAGAAGGAGGATGAGAGGAGGTGAGAGAGGAGGATGAGAAGGAGGAGGATGAGAAGGAGGAGGATGAGAAGGAGATGAGAAGGAGGAGGATGAGAAGGAGGATGAGAAGGAGGAGGATGAGAAGGAGGAGGATGAGAAGGAGGAGGATGAGAAGGAGGATGAGAGGAGGAGGATGAGAAGGAGGAGGATGAGAAGGAGGAGGATGCGAAGGAGGAGGATGAGAAGGAGGAGGATGAGAAGGAGGAGGATGAGAAGGAGGATGAGAAGGAGGAGGATGAGAAGGAGGAGGATGAGAAGGAGGATGCGAAGGAGGGGATGAGAAGGAGGATGAGGAGGAGGAGGATGAGAAGGAGGAGGATGAGAAGGAGGAGGATGAGAAGGAGGATGAGAAGGAGGAGGATGAGACGGAGGATGAGGAGGAGGAGGATGAGAAGGAGGAGGATGAGAAGGAGGAGGATGAGAAGGAGGATGAGAAGGAGGAGGATGAGAAGGAGGATGAGAAGGAGGAGGATGAGAAGGAGGATGAGAAGGAGGAAGGAGGATGAGAAGGAGGATGAGAAGGAGGAGGATGAGAAGGAGGATGAGAAGGAGGAGGATGAGAAGGAGGATGAGAAGGAGGAGGATGAGAAGGAGGAGGATGAGAAGGAGGATGAGAAGGAGGAGGATGAGAAGGAGGATGAGAAGGAGGAGGATGAGAAGGAGGAGGATGAGAAGGAGGATGAGAATTAGGAGGTTGAGAAGGAGGATGAGAAGGAGGAGGACTGAGAGGAGGAGTATGAGAAGGAGGAGAGAGAAGGAGGCTGAGGAGGAGGATGAGAAGGAGGAGGATGAGAAGGAGGAGGATGCGAAGGAGGAGGATGAGAAGGAGGAGGATGAGAAGGAGGAGGATGAGAAGGAGGATGAGAAGGAGGAGGATGAGAAGGAGGAGGATGAGAAGGAGGATGCGAAGGAGGAGGATGAGAAGGAGGATGAGGAGGAGGAGGATGAGAAGGAGGAGGATGAGAAGGAGGAGGATGAGAAGGAGGATGAGAAGGAGGAGGATGAGAAGGAGGATGAGGAGGAGGAGGATGAGAAGGAGGAGGATGAGAAGGAGGAGGATGAGAGGAGGATGAGAAGGAGGATGAGAAGGAGGAGGATGAGAAGGAGGATGAGACGGAGGAGGATGAGAAGGAGGAGGATGAGAAGGAGGATGAGAAGGAGGAGGATGAGAAGGAGGAGGATGAGAAGGAGGCGGATGAGAAGGAGGATGAGAAGGAGGAGGATGAGAAGGAGGAGGATGAGAAGGAGATGCGAATGGAGGAGGATGAGTAAGGAGGAGGATGAGAAGGAGGAGGATGAGAAGGAGGATGAGAAGGAGGAGATGAGAAGGAGGAGGATGAGAAGGAGGTATGCGAAGGAGGAGGATGAGAAGGAGGAGGATGAGAAGGAGGCGGATTGAGAAGGAGGAGGATGAGAAGGAGGAGGATGAGAAGGAGGAGGATGAGAAGGAGGATGAGAAGAGGAGGATGAGAAGGAGACAGGAGGAGGGAGGATGATAAGGAGGATGAGATGGAGGAGATGAAGGAGGAGGATGAGAAGGAGGATGAGAAGGAGGAGAGAAGAGGAGGATGAGAAGGAGGATGAGAAGGAGGAGGATGAGAAGGAGGAGGATGAGAAGGAGGATGAGAAGGAGGAGGATGAGAAGGAGGATGAGAAGGAGGAGGATGAGAAGGAGGAGGATGAGAAGGAGGCTGAGAAGGAGGAGGATGAGAAGGAGGATGAGAAGGCGGAGGATGAGAAGGAGGAGGATGAGAAGGAGGATGAGAAGGAGGAGGATGAGAAGGAGGAGGATGAGAAGGAGGCGGATGAGAAGGAGGATGAGAAGGAGGAGGATGAGAAGGAGGAGGATGAGAAGGAGGAGGATGAGAAGGAGGATGAGAAGGAGGAGGATGAGAAGGAGGAGGATGAGAAGGAGGATGCGAAGGAGGAGGATGAGAAGGAGGAGGATGAGAAGGAGGCGGATGAGAAGGAGGAGGATGATGAGGAGGGAGCAAAGAGCGAAGAGGAGGCGGAAGAGGCAGAGGAGGAAGAGGAGGAGAGTGAGTCGTATGGTGAGTCGAGTGAGAGTGATGGGAGTAGTGACAGTGAGGGGAGTGAGGGGAGTGATGAGAGTGAGGGGAGTAGTGAGAGTGAGGCGAGTGAGGGGAGTGAGGACATGGGGGGTGAGAGGAAGAGGAAGAGGGCAGCTCCTCGACAAACCAGGAGCACTCGCCGCCGCCGTGACAAGCGGGCCACACGCACACAGACAGCGGGTCGGCAGCAGCGGGGCAGGCAGAGCACCTCACAGCACCGCACCCCACCCTCTCGCCGAACTGCTCCCACCACGCCTCGCCTGCTCCACACTGCGAGCCCGCGTCTGCGCCCGCGCCCCCCCCTCTCCCCAGCTGCCACGCCCACGGCCTCGGGCGCCCGCAGCTCCCCCCTGGCCCTCTCCTCCAGGAGCCCACGCCTCGCTGCCACTACCCCGCGCGCATCCCCCCGCCTCACAGCCCTGGCGCCCTCTCCTGGGACACTGGGGGCGGAGGCAAGAGGAGGTCGCGATGGGGAGAGGAGCGAGGGGGGCGCGAGGGCAGCAGGGCGGGTGCGAGCGGGTGCGGGGTGGGTGGGGGCGACGGAGTGGAGGGAGGGGGACCCCTACCTGCCCCAGGTGGGTGATGACGTCATCTACTGCTTCCAGGGCCACCTCAGCTTCCTGGAAACTGCGGGGCGCAGCCGCAGCCGCGGGCTGGACGAGAAGCTGCGGAGGAAGCTGCGGCCGGCGGAGCCGTGTGTGGTGGAGGAGGTGGGGTACTACTGGGTGGAGAGCGGTGGCTTGGGGGCGGGGCAGGGGCGGCGAGGCGGAGGCAGGGGGGCAGGGGAGGTGCGGCGAGTGGGGTGCAGAGCGGTGCTGGTGGTGGTGGAGAGTGAGATCCCGGCGTTTGGGGAGAGGGTGGGCGTGGAGGTGGAGGAGGAGGGCGAGGAGTATGTGGTGGAGCGCTGGCGTCATGATGCTGCCCTCGCCAACGGCTGGCACCCCAAGCAGCACTGCCTGGTATGTGGTCTGCTGGGCGCTGGGAGGTGGTTCATGCACCACGCACAAAGCTATTTTCACTGCTGCTACTTGCTCCTCTCCCCTCCCCCCCCTTTTCACCACCCCTCCCCTCTCCGTCCCTCCCCATGCACGCGCCTCTATGCCTGCCCGCAGGCGTATTGGAGCCGGGAGTCGCTGCCACCGGGCCTCAAGCCACCCCCCCTGCCGGAGTCATCATCGGGCAGGGCAGTGGCAGAGCACCCGCGCGCAGTGCTCTTCCGCTGCCGCATCCAGTCCGACAGCCCCTTCGACCCCGCCCTGCCCCTCAGCCCTTGGCGCAGGTCAGCCCCTCAGCGCTTGCTGCCCCTCTTGCACCCGTTCTCCCACTCTCTTCCACTGCTCGCTCCACTGCCTCTGCATGCCCTCTGCTTCACACCCCTCCGTTCTCACCCCTCTCTCCCTTTCACCCCCACCCCCCCCCCCTCCCTCCCTCCCCTTCCATCAGGCTACGTGTGTACTATGCGCATGACCGCAGTGTGGAGAGGCAGAGCGCATGGGAGCTGCTCCACCCCGACCCCGCGCTCTGGCCCACCCGCCCTGCCATGCCAGCTCACCTGCTCAGCGCCGCCAGGGAGGCACTGCGGGCGGTGGAGCAGGACGAGGAGGTGCACGGCTCCCTGCATCTTCTCTACTCGCCCGACTCCTCCCCCGCCGCCCTCTCCTCGTGCGTACCAACCTTGGGGGTTATCGCTTGCTCTGCTGCCTGCACACAGCTCACGGCTGGCTGCCTTCCCTGCTCTGCTCTGCCCCTTGCCTGCCCTGCTCTGCCTTGCTCCATCCTGCTCCCACCTGCACGCCCGTGAACCTCTCACTTGTCACTGCACCTGAAGCTCCACCCTCCCCTCACATCCATCACCCCCTCCCTTTTCCCATCCCCCCCCCTGCCAGCATCCCAGTGCCAATGAGTGTGGCACTGGTGGCGGCGCGCATGGCATCGGGGTGGTACCGCTCACTGGACTCCCTACTGCACGACACCAACCTCATCGCCTCCAACGCCCTCCACCTGCACGGCGCCGCCCACCCCATCGCCACCGCTGCCGCCCACTTCTCCACACAGTTTGCCGCCCGCCTTAAGGCCCTCACTAGTGGTAGCAGGGCGTGAGACAGCCCACCCTGCTGAGTGTGACTCGGCTGTAAATAATTTGGCTGCGATTAGTGTCACTGGTGTTCGTGGAAGGGTACTAGTGCTTTCATTAGATCGTAGTATGCTAGATTTGGTCTGGGCGTTACTTAACTGAAGCGCACCACTAGTCAGGTTAGTTCTTTATTAACGTCATGTTGAGGTCCTAGTACTAACAAGCTACTACCGTCTGTGATGTACGGTATTGGCTCAGGTTTTGCCTATCATAACAATCAGATGTTACAAGTTCAAAGGCTCTACACCTCACCTCAGCTACCATCCTAGAGTGTGTAACATATCAACTCATCATTCCACACGTTTCCCCCCAGTTAGAAAGGCTCTACCTATTGGCAATCAATGGGAAACACACAGCCAATGTGCATGTGTGCTATAACCTATTCAGCTATCACACGTAAACGTGATGGACAAGCTACAATGCGTGCCAGTCATCCAAAGTAGATGGGCCCAGAAGTGGCCTTATTGCGCATGCGGGTGTAGAAGTCTGCCATCTCTGCCTGCTCTGCCGCCATCTCTGCCGCCTCTGCCAGCTCCTCTCTCCTCCCCGACCCCCCTCGGCCCCACTGGGCAAACGGGCCTGACGGGTTCCGAAGCTGCCCCGAAGTTGCGAAAGGAAATTTTCTTCTCAGCTGCCCGGATGGGGTGACCTGGGCAGCAGAGTATTCCCCGTTACTGGGCACTCTCACCATCTGCGCTGATTGCGCCACTCTGCCCGACATTTCAACCTGCCCGGACAGCCCCACGTTGGAGCGGGCTCTGCGCAGCCATTGGTTGGGGCCGCGCTGGGGCGCATTAAGCTGCCCGGAGGAGGCGGTGTGGTGGGCTGCAGCCAGCGGGTTGGAGAAGCGCACGACCCCTGACACTGACCGCCTTGCCTGCTGCATTGACTGGCTTGACTGCATTGACTGCATTGACTGCTGGAATGAGTGGCCTGGTAGACCGCTGGCTTGTGGGGAAGCAGCACGAGGGGATGATTGCCTTGCCTGCCCATGCCCATGGTGCCCCTGCCCCTGCCCGTGGGCGTGCATGGCCATGGGAGGTGTGCCTGCACCATGGGTGCCCAGCTGCTTGAGTATTCTCAGCTGCCCCGACCGGTTCAGCTGAGCAAAGTGCGGCATCTGCCCCCATGCCGACCCCGATGCCGACAGCATGCCCGACCCTGCAATCCCCGAACCTATCCCCGAACTAATACCCGACCCTGCGATGCCCGAACCGCCTCCCTCGGCAGCCCCCTGTCCCCCACCTACCAACTGCCCCGACATGCGCACATGATGCTCGCCTCCCCCTGCTCCCGCAGCAGCAGTGGTGTCGGTGGAGCCAGAGGGGGCAGCATGGGCAGGCGGGCCCATGGCTGAGTACGACCATGCGCCGCTGCCACTGGGGTTGGTGCCGCCATTGGTGTTGCCGGTGGGGTAGGCAGTGGTGGTGCTGTTCAGGTTCAGGTGCTCAGGCACCTGTAACTGCCCTGACGCCAGCCGCCTCAGCTGCCCGGACGTTCTCAGCTGCCCGGAAGCTCTGAGCTGCCCAGAAGGGTTGAGCTGACCAGAGGCAGTGAGGTGGCCCGAGCGGCCCACACGGAAGCTCTGTGGGCAGGCAGGGGGGGGAGAGCGGCAATATGAGGGTGTTATGGATAAGCGAGGGAGCAATGGGAGAGGAGTGACATGGGGGGGTGAGCAAGAGGCGAGCAGAGCAGAGCAGCAGGGAGCAGCGGGGCAGAGGGTGGCAGCAGGCAGCAGCAGGGAGCAGTTGGCAGGGGGCACTGACCCGGGAGCGCAGCATGGAGGGCGTGGGGGCGTAGTCAGCACCGCTGTCCTCCACAGGGTACTGTGGGTCTGGTGGGATGGGGGAGGAGGGAAAGGGGGAGGGTGTGGTGCGGACAAAGCAGCATTTGAGTGCCATGGAGTGAGGGTATGAGGGGAAGGTGAGGTGAGGATGAAGAGTCATGCACTTCAGCAGCTGGGGGAGATAAAGCACGAGGCTGATGCAAGGACAGAGAGGGCGGGGCAGGGAAGTGGGCTGACCTGCAGCAGCAGCGAGGGCGGCAACGAGAGCAGCGCGGTGGGAGGGCGACACAGAGAGGCCGCGCCTCAACGTGGGCGTGGAGCCCCCCGTGCCCGGCAGGCCCCCACTGCTCGCCCGTGCCAGACCCCCTTGGCCCCCTGCAGCGGCAGCAGCACCAGGGAAGTCCGCAGAGCTCACCCGCACCATGCGCCCTGCCCCGCCCTCCCCCCACCCCGCTGCCGCCGCTGCCGCTGCTGTACCCTGTGTGGGCTGTGCGCTCGGCTGTGGTGAGGCATGCCCATGGGCGGCCATGGACGGCTGCGACGCGGACGCGTGGATGGGCAGGTGGTGGGGGAGGTGCATGCCGTGCAGGTGCATCTGGTGCAGCAGTGACGGCTCTATCCCACTCAGCGAGCCCACTGCCGCACTGCCCTCCGCCTCCTGCTCGCCCCCTGCTCGCCTCCCTGCCCCCCCTCGGTTGGACGGTGACTGCGGCTGTGTGCCGGGCTGGCTGCCCGCGTTGCTGCCCCCATGACTCCCCCCATGACTCCCCCCATAGCTTCCCCCGTAGCTTCCGCCATAGCTGCCAGCGTAGCTGCCTGCGGCGAGGGACAGGGGCAATGTACCCCCGCCCAGACCCCCAGCATGCCTGCCCACGCCCGCGCCCACACCCATGAACTCCGCCCCTGCCGGCCGCCCCATGGCATCGATAGGCCCTGACATCCCCCTCTGCCTCCCCCCCGCGCCCACCCCCGCGCCCAGCTCGCCTGAGGGGAACCGCCTGGCCCCTGCCCGCGCGCCCGCCCCCTCTGCCAGCTCCCCTGACCGCCTCAACTCCCCCGACCGCCTCGGCCCGCCCACTGGCCGCCCGGACACCAGCCGCCCGGACAGCCGCCCAGACAGCCGCCCGGACGCGCCGCCCATGCGCAGGCGGCCAGAGAGGCGGTGCGGGTGGTAGGGGTGGGGGTGGAGCGGCGTGGCGGGCGCGGGGGGGCGCGGGTCGGACGCCCATATGACAGCCAGCGGGCCCGACACCGACCGCACCAGGCGCCTCAACGCCGACCGCGCCCACGCCTCCTCCCCCTCCCCTTCCCCTGACTCCACGCCTCCGCCCCTGCCTTTCCCCTCACACTCCTCCCGCCCCTCCGCATCGTCGTCCCCCTTACCGCCGTCCCCCAGCCTGGCTGCCTCCCGGGCGGCAGCAGAAGGGGGGAGGAGCGGGCCAGAAGGGGGGCGGGGCATGGCGGCAGCGCTGGTAAAGGTGGTGGTGGTGGTGGTGGGGGCGTGGAAGAGGATGGGGCCCGAGATGGCATGCGAGGGCTTGAAGGCGGAGGGGTGGCGGCGCGATGAGAAGGACGGGAGGGCGAAGAGAGGGCGCGAGGGCGAAGGGAGGCGCTCACTGGCGGGGAGGAGAGGGGGGGTGGGGCCTGGTGGGGGTGCTGCGCCGCCCCCTGCTGCTGCGGCCATGAAGGCTGCTGCATGCAGCGATGAGGGCAGGGATGAGAGCTGTGCCATGGCCCCCTGCATGCCCTCCTCCCCCATCCCGCCCATCCCCCCCATGCCGCCCATTCCCCCCATGTCGCCCCCCTGGTGCTGCTGTGCCTCCGCCACCAGCTGTTAACGGGCGGGAGGATCGAGGGGAGGTGGGGGGAAAAGGAAAGAGGGGTGATGAGCAAGGGAGGGAGGGAGGGAGGGGCATGTGGAGGTGGCATGGGGTGCGCACACCCAGCGCACATGCGGCCAGTGCTCATGAAGGCCATGGCATGGCGTGAGCAGGGTTGGGAGGGCAGGAGAAAGGAGGGGGCGGTACCTGCGCGTAGGCTTCAAGGGGGTCGAGATCGAGGTCGAGGTCCGCCTCCATGTCGTCCTCGTACTCCTCCCCCTCCATGTACCACGGCGCTCCTGTCGCGTCGTACCCACTGCTTGCAAGGGGGAGGGGTGGTTGGAGCACGCGGAAGGGAACACACAGAGGCAGGAGGGAATGAGAGGCAGGCGGGGAGGAAGGGTGGAAGGAAGCGGGTTGAGCAGTGAGGGCGGGCAGGAAGAGGAAGGCTGTGAGGGTGATGCGAGACTTACTGTGCGTAGAGTAGCGCCTCGCGTCGCCTTCTTGATGCTGCCACACACACAGAGACACGCATACACACACGAGTCAGCACCAGCACATATACCTAAGCATCAGAAACAGCAGCACCCCTCCCTTTCCCCACTCCTTCTCCCTCCTTCCCCCCCCTTCACTGCAGCGGCTGAGCAAGAGAAACAGCAGCACGCCTCCCTACTTTCTCCCCTCCCTACTTTCTCCCCTCCCCAATTCCTTCCCCCCACCTCTTCCCCCCACCTCTTCCCCCCTCTCACCCCTGCGGCTGAGCACGGTGCAGATGGCGACGCCAGCCACGAGGATAGCAGCAGCCATGGCGGCCCACGCGCCGTACGAGATGCCCAGCGGCGGCCCCTCGGCGCCCTGGGGCGCGCTGTTGGAGGCGGGCGCGGCGGCCATGGAGCAGTTGAAGGACGAGATGCGCCCCGAGGGCAAAGCCAGGAAGTAGGACGACGCCGCGAATATCAGCGCGGGGGACGTGCTGTCAAGGGGGGAGTGGGGAGGGGGGTGGAGGGCGGATAAGGGGAAGTTGGTGGGGGGAAGGGACGGAAGAGCAATAGAGGAGATAGATTAAGAAGGGGAGACAGGAGGCGTCAGCACAGGCTGACGGCTCAGGGCAAGGGGCAGCGCAGCGAGCAGCCCCTTGGAAATGTGTGGTGAGCGTGCGGGTGGGGGGAGCGAGCGGATGAGGGGAGTGAGTGGGTGATAGTAGCAACGCACATGAGGTTGTGGAGCAGCACGCCCGGCATGTTGAAGGAGGTGGCCTGGAAGAAGTTGACAGTGGACTGCACGAGGATGCTGCCGGCATAGATGGCTTCGATCGCCACCTCCACCTGCCCCTCGTACCCCGTCGCGCGCGCCGCTGCGCTCATCTGCGCTTGGAACTGCGCCTGGAACTCCTGCAGCCGCGCGCCATCACGGATGGCGCTGATGTTGGCGCCGCCCAGCACCACCACGCTGCGCACCAGCACCCCGTGCTGCGGCGCCTCGCCCCCCATGCTGCTGTTGCTGCTGCCGCTGCTGTTGCTGGCAGTGCTGCTGTTGGCGGTGGTGCTTCCAGGGGCGGGCGGGGCGCCGGGCGGGGGGAAGATAGGTGGAGCAGGCGGGGAGGGGGGCGGGGGGGGAGTGTAGGGAGGCGCGGCGGCGAGGGGGAGGGGCGAGGGGCGGCCGGAGGGCAGGAGGCAGAGACCCGAGGCGTGGTCGCAGGAGGCAGGCGCGCGGCAGGTGGAGGCGGGTGTGAGGGCGAGCGGTGAACACGCCACCTGATGGGGGGGATGGTGGTGGGTGGAGGGAGATGGGGCCGGGCGAGGGACTTTCAGTACATAAGGAGGGGGAGGAAGGCACGTGGGAACAGTGTAGGAAGCACCTGAGGAAGCACCTGAGGAAGCACCTGGCAGTTTCTCACCTGGGAGCAGTCAGCGGCAGCATAGCCGGGCAGGCAGTAGCATGTGCTGTTGTAGCAGATGCCTGCTCACACACACCACACGGGGAGGAGGGGAGGTGGGGGAAGAACGCGAGTGCGCACAGTCAGGGCGGTCGTCAGGACAGCGGAGGTCAGGACAGCAGGCAGCACAGCCGCTCCACCTCACCGCTCACTCCCTTTCCGCCCCCCTCCTTGCGCACCTTTCCCCGAGCAGTCGTTGGGGCAGGAGGCGGTGAGGCACATGCGGCGGTTGTCAGGGCAGGGGCCGATGGACCCCCCGTGGAAGTCCCCCCCGCCCTGGTCCAGCGCCACCATGCGCCCTGAGGGGCACGCATACCACTGCGCTCCCACCCGCACCTCCACCACCATCCCGCCCCCCCTCTTCCCCCGCCCCCCCTTTTTGCCCTTCCCCTTGCCCTTGCCCCGCAGCTGGCGCTTGGGGGTGGAGGAAGAGGCGGGCAACGAGAGCGCGCTGCCGCCCTGCGCCTTGGGGGCGAGGGCAGCACTGCCGTTGCCGTTGCCGCCAGCCGCGGGCTCCAGGGCGGGAGCAGTGGGGGGGGCATCAGCAGAGTTAGCGGAGCGGGAGGAGCGGGAGTCATGAGAGGAGGAGGCGGAGGGGACGCAGCGCATGGGGTAGCAGCCGGCGCCGGGGGGAGGCACGGCACCAGCACCAAAGGCATAGTCGAAGAACTGCGCGCCGTGCAGGAAGCAGCGGGACGAGGGGCCGTACGCCATCCCCAGCTGCTGCACCTCCGCTGACCGGCTCTCCTCTGCTCCACGCGGCGCCTGGCAGCGCTGTGACTCCACACTGGAGAAGGGGAGGGGGAGAGGGGAGGGGGAGGTGAGGTGATGTAAGATGAGGCATAGGGGGGTGGCGGGTGGGAAGAGGGCGGAGGAGGGCGGTGGAAGGCAGGCGGCACAGGCTTGCAAGAGCAGGAGAAGGAGCACGAGAATGTGGCGTACCTGGTTTTGTGCTTGCACGTGCCGAAGAGGCAGGTCGCAGGGGATGAGGAGGAGGAGGGGCCGCAGCCCGAGTCACAGGTGGCGACGGAGAGGAAGTCGGACGAGCACGTCAGTGGCTGTGGGTGGGGGTGGGGGTGGGGGTTGAAAGGGACGGGAGGGGCGAGGTGAGGAGGGGGGAGGCGAGGGGTGTGTGGGAAGGCACAGCATGGATGCAGGAGAGGAATGGCGGGCAACTGTTGAGTCCACTGGAAAGTCACCCACGGCACCCCCACCCCACGGTGAACCCACCATGGGCACGCGGCGCACGTCCCCCCCGGCGGAGAAGGTGGCGGAGCGGTTGAGGTCCGCCGCGGAGCAGAACCCGGGGGGGGTGGTGGCGGAGGCGGAGGCGGAGGCGGAGGCGGAGGCGGAGGCGGAGGGCGGGCAGGAGAGGGTGGCGGTGGCAGCAGAGCAGCCGCGGTGGTAGCCGGCGCGCAGCATGCCCGCCATGCCTGGCGTGACAGCGTACCACCCGCTGTCCTGGAAGAGCGCTAGCGTCAGCTCCGATACCACCGGCACCCCGTCCAGTAGGGGCGTCTGGAGGGGGAGATGGGGAGTTCGGGAGGAGGGAAGGAAGGAATGGGGAGAGGGGTGATGAGTGGCGGCAAGGCATGTGAGGCGATGGGAGGCAGAGGACCCGAGTAGAGCGCACAGGCGCCTTACATTGGCTGCTCGCCGCCACTGCTCTTCTCGCTCTCTCTCTCTGCACCCCCCCTCACCATGTATTCGTGCTCGAAGCGCAGCACGCTCCAATGGCTGCTCACCACCTCCCCGCCCTCGCCGCCCCCACCCCCGTCCAGCGCCACTCCGCCCGTCAGCGCTTCCTCCGGCTGCGCCGCGGTCACCAGCGACCCCCACTCCGTGCTGTTCGCTTCCGCAGGAGGCGCGGACGCGGGGGAGGAGGCGGGCGCGGAGGCGGAGGGCGGGGCGGAGTGCAGCTCAGCGCCGTCGAGCGCGGGGCAGTCGAAGTGGCGCTGCGCCGCGGCGACCACGGCGGGCGTGACGATCTTCGACACGTTGCTGCCGTCCGCCTGCCGCGCCGTCGCCACCACCTGCGCATACGGCTGGCCTGGTGACCGCCGTGGGGGACGGAGGAGGGGGAGGAGAAAGCGAGGGAGCGTGCGCCAGAAGCGGAAGAGGAGTGGATGTGGAGAGGAGGAGAGGAGGGGACGCGACAAGATAGACGCAGGGCAGCAGCGAGTGAAGGCAAGGCAAGCAATGGGGTGGCAGTACAGGAGAGCGGGCGTACCTCGCACGTCCTTGAAGAGCGTACCTCGCACGTCCTTGAAGAGCGTACCTCGCACGTCCTTGAAGAGCGTACCTCGCACGTCCTTGAAGAGCGTACCTCGCACGTCCTTGAAGAGCGTACCTCGCACGTCCTTGAAGAGCGTACCTCGCACGTCCTTGAAGAGCGTACCTCGCACGTCCTTGAAGAGCGTACCTCGCACGTCCTTGAAGAGCGTACCTCGCACGTCCTTGAAGAGCGTACCTCGCACGTCCTTGAAGAGCGTACCTCGCACGTCCTTGAAGAGCGTACCTCGCACGTCCTTGAAGAGCGTACCTCGCACGTCCTTGAAGAGCGTACCTCGAACGTCCTTGAAGAGCGTACCTCGCACGTCCTTGAAGAGCGTACCTCGCACGTCCTTGAAGAGCGTACCTCGCACGTCCTTGAAGAGCGTACCTCGCACGTCCTTGAAGAGCGTACCTCGCACGTCCTTGAAGAGCGTACCTCGCACGTCCTTGAAGAGCGTACCTCGCACGTCCTTGAAGAGCGTACCTCGCACGTCCTTCAAGAGCGTACCTCGCACGTCCTTGAAGAGCGTACCTCGCACGTCCTTGAAGAGCGTACCTCGCACGTCCTTGAAGAGCGTACCTCGCACGTCCTTGAAGAGCGTACCTCGCACGTCCTTGAAGAGCGTACCTCGCACGTCCTTGAAGAGCGTACCTCGCACGTCCTTGAAGAGCGTACCTCGCACGTCCTTGAAGAGCGTACCTCGCACGTCCTTGAAGAGCGTAACTCGCACGTCCTTGAAGAGCGTACCTCGCACGTCCTTGAAGAGCGTACCTCGCACGTCCTTGAAGAGCGTACCTCGCACGTCCTTGAAGAGCGTACCTCGCACGTCCTTCAAGAGCGTACCTCGCACGTCCTTGAAGAGCGTACCTCGCACGTCCTTGAAGAGCGTACCTCGCACGTCCTTGAAGAGCGTACCTCGCACGTCCTTGAAGAGCGTACCTCGCACGTCCTTGAAGAGCGTACCTCGCACGTCCTTGAAGAGCGTACCTCGCACGTCCTTCAAGAGCGTACCTCGCACGTCCTTGAAGAGCGTACCTCGCACGTCCTTGAAGAGCGTACCTCGCACGTCCTTGAAGAGCGTACCTCGCACGTCCTTGAAGAGCGTACCTCGCACGTCCTTGAAGAGCGTACCTCGCACGTCCTTCAAGAGCGTACCTCGCACGTCCTTGAAGAGCGTACCTCGCACGTCCTTGAAGAGCGTACCTCGCACGTCCTTGAAGAGCGTACCTCGCACGTCCTTCAAGAGCGTACCTCGCACGTCCTTCAAGAGCGTACCTCGCACGTCCTTGAAGAGCGTACCTCGCACGTCCTTGAAGAGCGTACCTCGCACGTCCTTGAAGAGCGTACCTCGCACGTCCTTGAAGAGCGTACCTCGCACGTCCTTGAAGAGCGTACCTCGCACGTCCTTGAAGAGCGGGAAGAGCGCGGAGCTGAAGGCGAGCGCGTGCGTTAACTGGTGCAGCACCGCGTGCACCTGAGGGAGAGGGGAGGGAAGCGAAGCGGGAACGGGGGGAAGTGGCGGTCAGGGGGACGATGTTGATTGGGGGAAGTAGGGGGAAAGGATAAGGGAGGAAGGCAGTGGGGGTAAGGAAAAAGGGAGGTAGAAGTGCCGGCAGGCGGGGTGGAGCGGGTGGCGTGTCGCGCGTGTTGTGTATGCGCCTGCCCCCCCTGCCCCCCACGCGCCGAGCACCCTGCGCATTCTTCTCCCCCGACGGTACCTGCGAGTCGTACGACGGCGAGTGCTGCCCCACGGCGCGCCAAGCCAGCGGGCAGAGGTTGAGCGACGCGGCGAGAGGGCGGTTCGACGCGGGGTCCACCGCGCAGTGCGACGCGTGGGCCGCCGCTGTCGTGCTGCCGCACGTCGCCGTTTGCTGCTCCGCGCCAAGGGCGGGGGGGAAGAGAGGGGGACACGGGAGGGACGGGGGTTGCGTTAATTGGGGGGTGAATGCAGGAGCGGATGACGGGAGCTGTGGGGGAGATTGCGGAAGGAAGCGGGAGGGCGCGGGGGAGGAGGGAATGACGGGGGCAGGCGGCAAGCGCAGCGAGGGACGAAGTTGGTGGGCGGAGCGACTCACCTTGGCTGAGAGGAACAGGATAATGTCAGCACCAGGTGTGCCTGTCCCAGCTGCCACCTCCCCACACGTGGCGGGGTCCTCTGATTGGCAGAGCGAATGCGCCGCCAGCAGGGATGGGTCCACGTCGATGTCCACCTCGGCCTGCACAGATGCACCACAGAACGCCACGTCATAACGGAGGAACAGGCACGTGGACATGGCGTGAATGCGGGTGCTAGCTGCACGTTGTTGCGGCATTCGCACTCCTCCGCTTCCCCCTCTCCCTCTCCCCATCGCCCCCTCATCCCCACCGCCCACATCTCGGCCCCTTGCTATATTGATGTTGTTTTTGACATGGGCGGCACTCACGTCGCACATGGGCGGCACTCACGTCGCAAATGGGCGCGAGTTGCGTGCAGGCGGAGGAGCCGTTGGAGAGCGCGGTGAACGCGGCGCACGTCACGGGCAGCAGCAGCGGGTCGGGCGGCAGCACGCGCACGGACAGCAGCCGACTCAGGTAACTGGGGGAAGGGGTTGCGGGGGAAGGAATGTGCGTGGGGAGGGGGAAGAACGCGGAGCGAACGGGAGAGGGGAGTAGGTTGAGGGGTTGCGGGTGGGAGTGAGGGAGGCGGGAAGAGAGGCTGGGCGAAGGCGACCGACGGGAGGGCGCGGCTACCAGAGCACGTTGGCACGAGCGTGCGTACCTGAGCGCGTCGGGCACGAGCGTGCCTTGGATGTATTTCGCCCGCAGGGGGTCGTCGGGAAGGTCCTGCTCCACTGACGACACCTGCTCCATGCGGTCAATGCGGTCAACGCAACGGGGGTGGGCGGGATTAGGCGCAATATGCATGCTATCGGCTGGGGCATTGGGTCGGCATGTAACCATGAGCGGGCGGGAAAGTAGGAATTGGGGTGAGTTTGGGGCAGTGGGCGCACCGTGTGGAAGCGGAGCGGTCGAGGGGGGGAAGCGGAGGCGGCGGAGACAGTGGCGGCGGGAGAGGCGGTCCCAAGCAGCTGCCGCGAGGGCGGGGAGGGGCGCTGACGAGCCCACTCCCCCACGCCGAACCTGGGAGGTGCGGAGAGGAAGGGACGTCAGAACAAAAAGACGAGGGGCTTCACTCGACGCCATTCGTCGCCCGTGCTCTCTCATCCCTTCCCATCTCTCTTCCACCTGACCCTTCACCCCCCTTGACTCCCATTCAACCGGCGCCTGCCCACGCCTCACCCCACCCACCCTGTGCGGTACGACGCCAGTTGCCGGCGCGTGTGCTCTCTGCTGCGCGCCGCCACGTGCGAGTCGTGCACGCACATGAACGGTCGCTCCGGCGGGTGCGACGTTGCGTGGTCCAATTCCCATCCATCGCCGCGGCACGGCCGACACGTTGACGTAACAAGGACGAGCACTGCAAGAGGAGCATGGGGGAAGAGAGTCGAGGCGGCGTGAGCGCTTCTGAGGGCTACCTACCGCTGGGGCGGCGTGGGAGAGGGGGAGAGGAGGTATGGCGATGGACGAGGCGAATGTGCTGACGGGCGACGCGGTAGCAACGATGAGCGACGCACAAGACGGCGAGTGGGGCAAGATGACGGCTAGCGGGACAAGATGGCGGCGAGGAGCAAGAGAGCGGGCCTAAAGGACATGGCCTCTCGAAAGGCGATGGAGAACAGTGGAGATCTACTCGTGAGAGCGAGCTATATCGACGCAGGGTGACGAGAGGAAAGGCCAAGGAAGAGGCGGGACTCGAAGGTGAAATCGAACCTGTGAGGAGCGCTATGCGGAAATTGAGGAGCGGCGACATGGCTGCCGGCGAAAGGTGTCTGGATTAGGCGTCGCTAGCATCGATAGGACTACTACCAAGCTTGAAAAGAGTTACTCGAACATTGAAAGCCTTATGTGTGCCGCCTACACCTGCCACGAGTAGAAAAACCCTAGAACACTAGTGGGACTCAGTCAACTACTGGTAAGCATCAGCTAAGCGACTGTCGACACACATTACTGGAGCCGACAAGTGCATCGCCTGTTAGTGTGTGATGGCAACTAGCTCGGTTGACTCCCTCAGCCCATCACTTGATCCTGCTGTACCGACATCTATGACTGGCACGGCAACCCACAGAAGAGCAGTTGTGGGCGTGAGTGAGTGGGTCGTGCGCAGATGGGTGCGCGGTGGTGCAGAGACGGGTTTCGCAGAGCAGGGCTGGGTGAGTCAGAAGCCACGCGAATTTGCGACGCGACTCCAGTTCAGATGCCTCACGACACGAATTGCAGAGTGGCGGGAAGTAGCGGACCGCCTAGAATCTGAACATACACCGCAATATATTCATAGCATTCGGCTTATGTGTCACCATTTTACCCAAGTGACATCTCATTATTCAACCAGGTACACATTGAATCAGCCCCATGCTTGTAGCTCAATGCCATATAATTGCTCGAGAGATGAAATGAAACAACAACATTGCGTTGAAGTCTAAACAAGGCACCTTACATGCACATGCAGCCCTATCACTTCGCGGTGAGGAGTTCACTAACGTAAGTATACTATGCACTGTTTTTTATCCATGTTTCAGTTGCCCAACCTGTACCCAGAACCCTAGTGACACCAGTTGGCACGGGTAACGGGTTACTAAGGAACTAGAGCAGTTTCATAAGGATAGGAGCGATATGGTACTACCGGATTTTTCTTACTACCTGTTGGTCGCTAGTCCTTGCTCTTTCCTCTTGCAGCTCCTTAATTGGAGGCGTGAGAGATGGTGCAATCCGATTGGACGGGAAGGGGGTGAAATCTGGAAGCATGGCAGCATCCCTAAGCTTGCCAGCAGGTAGGGCTTGGATGGCTGCCAGCTTGAGCTTGAGCCTGGCAGACTCGGCCCCTCTCTGCTGGTGGTGCTTCTGCATCATCAACCTCGAGTACTCCTTCGCCATCCGCCTCTCCTCCTCCTGAGTAGCCTCATCCACATTTGGCTGGGTGGCAAAAAAAAGGGTCGGGGGTTGTGGAGGACCGGTATATGAAGGGCAGGAGGAATGGGGGAGGGCCGAAGTGGGTGGAGAAGGGGGCAGCATGATGAAACTGCTACATGATTGAATGGCTCAAGCCCATGAAGCAGCGGTTACAGCAACATACACGAAAATAATAAACCTTCGAGCATCGGACGAAGGATGCGTTGAGTACTCGAAGGACAACAACGCTTCAACAACCAATAAAGGCCACGTTCATGGTTCGCACGCCCATTTCATACAGGGGCACGGTGATGACGTCACTACAGATCTTACCAGCTCTACTCGAGCATGGCGAAGCGCCGCCTCCACAATGGAGGCCGCCTTCCCTTGGTCTTCTAAAGCCTTCTTCTTCCCGCCGCTGCTTCCTCCCGTCGACTTCGCCTTCACCTTGCTCTTCCCCGCGCTTTCAGCAGCTGCTGCCGCGGCGGACGCAAACTGGCGTCCGACAGCTCGCTTGATCTCCTGGGAGCGCGTAATGACCGCTGATCGGAGCATCGCCACTGCGAAAGCTCCTCAGCACGATGCGTACGAGAAAAAACTGCTGATAACTAGATAATTGTCGGTCGCGACACATACCAGTAAGGGATGTGGATGTACAGTAAACATTCGTACACGCAGATGCGTTAGAGGTATGAGACGAGAGCTGTAGCTGGCTTAGATACAAGCAGGTGTATCACACCTAGGCAACCACCGACTTTGAGTATAGTCTGTTGAGATTGGCACGGTCAGGGAAAAATTAGTTCATGAATCACATCGGGTAGTATTTTTTTTTTTTTTTTTTTTTTTTTTGCTTGGTTTAGAAAGCCAATGGACACATACATCCTTCTCCAGTTCAATAACAGCAGGGACGAAACAAATAAGGGCCCGACTGGGATGGAGAGATTTGGAGACGGAAGAGAAAAAAAAGAGAGAGCAAGGAAATGGGAAAGGAAAGGAATAGGGAAAGTAAAGCCAAGAGAGACCCAAAAGCACGACACCCCAAGAAGACACCCTATCTAAAAGCCCCCTTCACCTACCCCCCCCCCCCCCCCCCCCCCGACGCCCCTCAAAACGGAGCGGACACCAAATACTGAGCGTCCACCCACAGTGCCCCCCCCAACTCCTCAGTGTCCTCCCTCTCCCTGTCCACCAGATCGATATCTGCTCCTCCCATAGACGATGCAGCGCGAAGCAGAATGACTCGAGCTTGGGCACGCTGCAAAGCCACCCCAATCATAGCCTTCAAGGATCCCATGAGATAAAAGGAAAAGGACTGGTCATCCTCCCGACACGCCCCCCTCGAAACGGCAAGTCCGAAATGTGCGTCCCCCTGCTGCCGCAGCCAACGCCGAAAACGTCCACCTAGGCATCCCCATGTCTCAACAATCAAAGGGGTGAACTGCACTCCCCGGTTGCGCGCTAACAGCGGCGCGTAATCTCCCGTCTTCCTGCGCTCCCACTCCCTGGCCGCCACTCCTATAGACCGCCCACACTGCCCGACCAAGGCTGGAGACAGTGACAGTGGATCGGCAACACTGACCTCCAGAGCATGCGCCTCCCCCGCCGTTGGTCGGCGCACCGCAACATCCACCCACTTCCCTACCAACATCGAGTCGTCCTCCATCGACACCACCCCTCCCGACGCCTTAGCGATCCTAGCCACCGCAAACTTTACCTCGTCGTGCACCCGTGACGGCCCGTGCTGGTGCTTACAGCGCAATGCATGGTGTGGATCTGCCGGGTCCGTGTACTCAGTGCCGCAAATGCAACGGCCTGCGACGTGCAGCTGCTGAATCGGAAGGCCCAAACGCACAGCCGCGGCAATGCCCCACTCAGCAGCTGTAAAGGTCAAGTCTGAATGGGCAGGCACCGCCGAGACCCAAGCACCAGCTCCCGGGCCCTGAAGGGATGTGAAACGGGCCAGGGTAGCATCGTCACGGGCCATACAACGGAGGGACTGGAGCTCCTCCACAGCTAACAGCCGCTGCCGTGTCTGGAAAAGTCGAACTGGTGGGGCCGCTACGCAGAGGTGGAGACCCGGCATCTCCTGGCGTACAGCGTCAGGCAGCTGCTCGAGGCTCTTGGAGAACCACGGGTCGAGAAAATCCACCCCCCCCGAAGAGCTGAGGTAGTCCCTAAACATCGCCTCCTCTCCCGCTATCCCCAACTGAGCCACACCTCGCACCGCCTGCGTCCATCCGCAGGCATAGGAGAGTGGGCTCAGAGACGCCGCAGCCCGTACACCGAAACCACCCAGACGGACTGGGAGGTGCAGCTGCAGGCGCGCCAACCTAGACCGACCAGGGTCGTGCTCCCATGTGCCAGGGGGAAAAAGTTGCTCAAAACAGTCCTCCACCCTGCTGTCCCACTCCCTAAACGCCTCCACCACCTCTGGTCGTGGTGGCACCGTCCGAGCAAGATACATAGGTCGTGCCGACACTGCAATGGCCAGAAGGTGCGCCGCCATCTGGGGATGCTCGAGCAAAGGGAGCCAAGGAAGGGGCGCCTGCAACTGCTGTAGCCGCTCCCGTAACCGAACAACCTCCCAATCCTCATCCCCAATCGGAACGCCAACTACCGTCAATCTGGTGATGCGTCCTCAATCTGCGAGCTCTAGAAAAAGTGTCACGTTTTTCAGCCAATGAAAACTAAGCAACACATTAGGATGACACGAGACAAGCCACTTCGTGACATGTCAGTAACATCAGCCAGGCTGGATTGCCCATCGCACTTGGAAACGGGATAAGGCAGCTGTTTATTTTCGTTCCTTACTGTCTGCCCGCGAAGAGAAGGGGGCGAATCTGGACTCAACTGCCTTCGTGGCAAGAAGGTTCGGGAGAATGCTGATATTTCATCCAACCAGCAGGGACGTTACCACGTGATTGGAATTCTTCCATAAGGAGCAGCTCGTCGCACGTGATCGTTGGATTTCGCCTGGCTGCCTTCCTTGCTTTGCCCGAACCGGCACCAAACCTGTCGTCCCCCCAAACCACTGCGGGAGCTGTGTTGTGCTGTTCGTCCCCCCCTCTGCCTCGCGGGCCAGCGCAGCACAGCGCAGCTGCAGCATTCGTCGGTCCCCTCCACGCGTATTTGGTCACTCGCCCTCTCGGCTTACACATTCGCACATTTTGCCTCCCACGTTCCCTGAGATTACTTTCTGCTAATTTGTCTCCTAAAGCCAGCCTGACAAGATGAGTGTGTGAAGGATTTACGGATTGGCCCATTTTTTCCTGTAGAATCTAGTGACCTTCTGGTCGACGCTTCGTTCCACCAGCTTTTCTTCTCCTACTATTCGCCATGATTTTTGAGGTCGACGACTTTTCCTCGCCATCAGTGGCGTCCCCTCCGTGCAGTTCATGTCGCCTTGACGACTTGCCTGGCGAGCTTCTCGTCGAAATTTTGAAGGTATGCATGTCGTTCTAGGTAGTTATATCAATTGCCGTCGTTTTTTAATTCCAGCCTTCTAACTTCATTCCTGTTTACGCGTTACAGAACTTGGAGAAGCAAGATACGGGAAGGAGAGCACATTTGAGAGCAGCGTCGCTCGTTAGCCAGCAATGGCTGGCATCCTCCGGCCAGGCTTGCTCGACCCTCTCTTTAAGTGGCCTCAAGGTAATTCTTGCCTCCCGCATTGTCGTCGCTTCTTCCTCCCGCTAGGCACGTGTCCATACGCTGACTCCCGTTGCCATTTTGAATTCTGCAGGCATCCAAGCTCCCGAAGCTCCTGGCGAGGTTCCCGTCGCTCGCGGTGCTGAACCTGAATTTCCTCTTCGACTGCTCCGAGGACTCCCTGGCCAGCATCGGCCGTCTGTGTCCGCGGCTGCTCGAGCTGCACGTGCCGGAGACCTGCAAGGCCGCCGATGGCGCGGGGCTCGTCGCTCTCGCACGCGGCTGTCCGAACCTCTCCATTCTCTCCCTGCCTGCCTTCAAGGGCCCCGACCACTCGCTCATGGCGCTGGGCTCGCATCTGCCTCGCCTGCTCAAGCTGCGCCTCCGCTCGGTTCCGCATCTCACGGACGCCGTGGTGGCGCACATTGCGCAGAGCTGCCGGCGCCTGGAGGAGCTCGACCTGTCCTTCACGGACATCACGGACGCCGCGCTCGCCGCCGTCGGCGCGGGGCTGCAGGCGCTGGAGCACCTCGACGTGAAGCACTGCAAGCGCGTCACGGGCGCCGGCGTCGCGCAGGTGGCGGCGGGGTGTCCGCAGCTGCGCCTGCTGCATCTGGGCGTCGTGGACGTCAGCGATGACGGCCTGGCGGCGCTGGGCCGTCACAGCCGCCGGCTGGAGGAGCTGTACCTGGACTACGGCGCGGGGGAGACGCACCAGCTCTCGCGCGAGGCCTTCTCGTCGCTCGCCGCGGGGTGCCGCAAGCTGCGCGTGCTGAGTCTGCGCGGCAGCCGCCAGGTCGACAGCGGCGCCGTGTCGGGGCTGGCGCGCGGGTGCCCGTCGCTGGAGGTGCTGGACATGCACGCGTGCGACGCCGTCGCCGACGAGGGGCTCGCGCCCGTCATCGCGGGCTGCAAGAAGCTGCGCGAGCTGGTGCTCACGGGCACGGGGGTCGGCGCGGCGGGCGTGCACACGTTCAGAGGCGGGCTGCCGCACCTGGCGCTGCTGCGGCTCAACGGCGAGCTCGTGACGGACGCCGTGCTGCACTCGGTGGCCGCCAACTGCCCCGCTCTCACGGAGGTACACCTCAGCAACTGCCACGTCAGCGACGAGGGCATCCAGCGGCTGCTGGCGGGGTGTGCGCGGCTGCGCGCGCTCTCCGTGAAGGCGTGCGCGGACGTCAAGGCCACCGCGTTCGACGGCGTCACCTGCGCGGCGCTGGAGACCGTCGCGCTGCCGTCGTGCGGCGTGAGCGACGAGGGGTTGGTCGCGCTGGTCCGCGCGTGTCCCGCCCTCACTTCGCTCTCCCTGCCCTCCTGCCTGAAGCTGACAGCCGCGGGGCTTGCAGCGGCGCTGGCGGAGGCGCGCGCGGTGAAGGAGGTGAGCGCGGCGGGGTGCAAGCAGCTGATGCGCGACGACATCGTGCGCCTCACGCGCTGCTGCCGCCCCGCGCTCAAGTCCATCCGCGTGTCGCGCCCGCACTGCCCCGACGACGAGTACACGCTGAAGCGCCTGCACGTGGGGTGGCAGCTGCCCAGCTGGGCGCGCAGCAGCAGCAGCACCAGCCCGCGCCTCTCCGCTGGCTTTGGCGCGCGCGGGCTGTATGGCAGCAGGTCGGCGGGCGCCACGCCACACTCCCTGTGAAGCACAGGTGCAGGCGCTCCCACGAGCCTTCCTGCAGGTACCAACCCCGACACATGGACACACTGCAGCGGTAGCAGCGGCAGCAGCAGCAGCGGTGTGTCTGGATGCGCGCGTTCACCCTCCCCTTAGGACCCCTGTGGCCCGTGTGGAGCCCGGGATGCTCTGACGCCCTGCAGCGCCCTCTGGGTGCGAGGCAGGGAAGCGAGAAGAGCACTGGGACGAGTCATGAGCCCAGGGCGAAGGGGGGGTGCTGGACGCTGCGTGTCACTCGTGCTGGGTGGAGGCTGCAAGGCAGCAGTGCAGGGTGCATCTGCTCATGTGTCTGCGGTATCTCTCCTAACTGCTTGTGCATTTGACAACGTGGATGGTCAGTGTTTTGTGTGGTTGTGCATATAATGTTGATGAGTGCTGTGAGGCAGTGGAGGGCGAAGTGCCAGAGGCGCCACAGCCCAAAGGGCACGTGGTGCTGGCGCTGTGCGAGCATGCTGCATGCCCCGCACAGATGTAAAGAAGGCCAGTTGCCTCCCATCGTTTCTGCAGCATCTCAGCTCAGTTTTCCAGTTTGTGATGTGTTTTACTGAAAAGTGCAAAAGCATGTATTTTCCAGGGCACTTGACTTTCTCTTGTACTCTGATTTTTACACTTCAAAACATGTACGGTAACACGCAGAGCCGAGCAGAAACCTACACGTTCCGATTAGGCTGCATGCTGAGAGCAACGCATCAGAGGGTCATGTCTACAATAGCCCGACCCAGCACGTTGCCTTTTTCCAGCTTGCAGTAGGCAGTGTCTGCATCCTCCAGGCGGTAGCGCTCCGTGACACTGGACACCACGTCCACCCTCCCCGCCGCTGCCAGCGCCACCACCGCTGGCAGGTCCGACCGCGCCTTGGCCCCATACGACCCTATGATCTTGATCTGAGGGTGGAGTGTGGGGTGTGGAGAGATGCATGCAGGAGAAAGGAAAGCCTGGCAGGATAGAGGAGAAGCAGCAGAGGTAGTGTGGGTGCACTGGGCATGTGGGCAGTGCAGGGCAGAGGGAGTGAGGCAAAGTGTGGTAAGGCATGTGTGGTGGGGGCATGTGGGAGAGGGTCATGAGTGGGAGGGTCATGAGTGGGGGAGGGTCATGAGTGGGAGGGTCATGAGTGGGACGAGGCACTGACATTACGGCGCACGAGTCGGGTGATGTCAACAGCAGCAGTGGTGCCGGCAGCAGCAATGCCCACCATCACCGCCCTGCCCCCGTCCCTCACTGCATGCACCGTCTGCCCAAACGTCTCTGCCCGCCCCAACGCCTCCACCGCCACGTCCACCCCCCTGCCGCCTGTTATGGCCTGTGGGGGAAGGTGGGGAGATGGGGCGGACATGAGACACACATGGGGCACACACATGGGGCACACACATGGGGCACACATGGGGCACACATGGGGCAAGGCGACCACAAGTGAGTGAACCACAGGGGCTGAGGGGGATCACAATCGCCCTACCACAGACCCCCACCCACCCCACCGTTGCGGCCCCAGCAAGGTGCACCCACCCTGATGGCCTCCACCACGTCCTCCTTGGCGGCGTTGACGGTGTGGGTGGCGCCCAGGGCACGGCAGCGCTGCAACTTGTCCTCCGCCACGTCCACCGCTATGATGCTCGCCGCCCCCATGGCGCGCGCCACCTGCACACAGCTGCCGCCCACGCCGCCCGCCCCCACCACCGCCACGGTCTCGCCGGCGCGCACGTCCCCCGCGTGGCGCAGCGCCCCGAAGGCGGTGAAGAGCGCGCAGCCCATGACGGCCGCCTCGGGCAGCGGCAGCGCGGGGGGCAGCGGCGCCACGGCGGTAGCGGGCGCCACACAGTAGTCCGCCAGCCCGCCCATGCTGTACATCGCCAGGGGGGCCGCTGGGGGGAGGGGGAAAGAGGGGGTGCGATGGGGGTATGGGGGGTGTGGGGAGGAGGAGGGAGGGGGGTTGGGTGGGTGGGAAGGGTTGGGTGTGAGCAGCACGTGTGTAGCAGCATGTGTGAGGGGTGACAATGAGCGCACATGGGTGCGTTGCTGTGAGCGCAATGCTGCTGCCCCATGCGCATGGCCGGCTTCAGCCTTGGCTGACAATGGACCTCAGGTGGAGCGTCCCTGGCAGGCAGGCAGGCGGTCACCGGAGGGGTCGGCAGAGAAGAGGCGAGTGTGGCCGTCGTAGAGCGTGCCGTGCAGGCGGTTGAATGCAAAGAATGTGGAGCATATGTCCTCCTGCCCCTGCCATGTGCGCGCGGGATGGGAGGCGTGGGAAGGAAGGCCGTGAGGACAGGGTGGAGTGTGGCATGGGTGGGGCGCATGCATGCAGCAGGAATGGCATGGCGTGGCGAGGCGTGGCAGGGCGACTGACATGGGTGCAGAAGAAGCAGGAGCCGCACGGCATGATGAACGCCGCCACCACTCGTGATCCCACTGGCAGCCTGCTCCCCCCATGGTGCACGTGGTCATGGTGGGCACGGGGTTAAGGGGGGGCAGGGAGCAGGGAGCAAGGGGCATAGACGTGTGGCGTGGGGCAGGAATGGGAGGAGGGAGCATGGTAAGCGGCACTTGGAGGGCGAGTGCAGCAGGCATCACTGCGGCATAGCAGTGGTACTCGCTCTGGGTACAATGACAGCAGGCGAGTGAGGCAACCTCACGCAGCGCGGCGAGCACAGTCAACAGACGTGCTTGCTCACTGTGCTGCGCCCTCCTCGCACCCTCCCAGGCCATGCCATGCATTGAGGCGCACCTGGCGATGGTGGCGGCGTCGGTGCCAGCACCGTGGTCCACGACCTCCCCGCTGACCTCGTGGCCCAGCACGCAGGGCGCGGGGAACGCCACGTGGCCGCGCATCACATGCAGGTCCGTGTGGCACACTCCGCATGCTAGGGGCGACCAGGTGGGGGGAAGCGAGATGCAAGAGGGGGCAGAATGTGAGAGAGTGGGTTGGGAAAGAGGCAGTGAATGGGGAATGCGCAATGGGCGGTTGAAGCTCGAACACGACCATGTCATCTCGCCTCCACCCCCTTTCAACCCCTCCCCCCACATTCAGCGTGTGGCGCAGTGCGGAAGGGCTCACCGCGCGTCTTGATGAGCACCTCGCCCGCCTGGGGCCGCGGGATGCGCAGCAGCTCCACGCGCAGCGGCGCGCCCACCTCGCGCATCACGGCGGCGCGCATCGTGGACGCGCCGTGCTGCACGGGCAGGGGAACGCTGCTGGCAGCGCTCGTGCACAGCCCCGCGGCGAGCTGCGACGGCGCGACAGGTGAGAAGGAACGCGAGACATGAGGGGCGGAGCCGGAGGGATGAGGGGCGGAGGGCTGAGTAGACTCAACCAGCGAATGGAGCGCGCGGAGAAGCAAAGGGGATGCGACGGATCCGTCGGTCTGAGCGCAACTCTCGGCACCCTCGCAACGAGTGGCGCCGAGAGGCCCCTTGCTGCTCGGGAGGACTACTCCCGGGGGAAGCGCAAAGCGTGCACGCGCATGGCGACTCCAAGAGCTCCGACGAAGGACCCGAGCGGCAGCGGCAAGGCCGGTGAGGGCCATTTAGGCGATGTGGCGGGGCAGTGCGTGCGAGGATTTGATGTGTGCGCAGCCTCTAAGAGATGATCGTGAATACTGTGTTACGTGCCCGCGGCGCAAATCTCTACGCAAGGGGCGGCAAAGTCGGGATGGGGACCACATGAGTGGTGAACTGCAGCAATGGCCGACTCGCCACGCCAGCGGACATGGTGGACAGTGTTGACATAAGATGTGCGTGTCATGCCCAGGGGCCACGTCAGAATCTTGTCGATAATGATAAAGCGCTAGAAGTGTAGTCTGCAGATAGTAAGATTTGTCAGGAAATTACCTAATATGCTAAATGTTCGTCAGGAAAATCACCCTTCCTACAAGTTTCATGAAATTTCGGGGGGAAAGTGCATACACCACCAACGCCATGCCGTAATATTTATATATTGATACTTCATATCTTGGTTGTATTCGGTTCAACACGTTTGTTTCCAATACTGAAAATATATCTGATTGCACAGAAATACTTTTTTTTTCAGTCCTATAGGATTGCAGAAGTATAGTGGTAAGTGTAATGAGAAGCTATTTTTCTCCTGGCTGGTGCCGCCACTACTGACAAATTTGTTACCTGAGTGAAGTTGACGACTTCGCTTGGTATCGCCCTTATCCTAAACCCACGTCACAAGCCAATAGAATGAGCAAATTTCGATCCATTGCGATTCACGCCTCCACGTGGCAAGGCTCCCACTCAAGCTGTTCCAAGGCACTCAGGACTTCCATTGCAACCAACAAAGACTAGCTCAGATGCTCCACTCGAGTTTAGCACTGCAGCCACCGCACTGAAACTTTGCTCCCTCACAACCAGTCACCATGGCTTGCGTCGCTGCTTGCTCCCTTGCTGCCCCCGCCGCTGGCCTCGCGGGCTCCTCTCTCGCTGCCCGCAAGACCGCCCGCGTCCAGCTCAAGTCAGGTAGGTTTTTACGATTAGTTGCAAAATGTTCCTTGATTGAGAACCTGGAGCATTACTGACGGTTCGTCTCATGTTGCAGCATTTGTTGGGCAGCGCGCCGTGGTGCAGACTCCTCGCGCCGAGGCTCGCGTCACCTGGTATGTGAATCGGTCCGCAACGGTTGTTTGATTCCTAACAATGTTCCACCTCCCATCATTCTTGACATTCAAATTGCTCTTCGTGCCTTCCTGCTTGTGACAGCTTCGTGCGTGACTGGCTTCGCACCGACCTGTCAGTGATCGGCTTCGGCGTCGTCGGGTGGCTCGCGCCTTCCAGCATCCCCGCCATCAACGGCAAGTCCCTCACCGGCCTCTTCTTTGAGAGCATTGGCCCCGAGCTGGCTCACTGGCCCACTGGCCCCAGCATTGACTCCCCCATTTGGTAAGCGCGTCGTATCTTTGACCCCCCCTCGTCTTTATCTATCTATTTTGCGGCGACTAATTTGTCGGTTGTTGCCTATTTCAGGCTGTGGATGATCTTGTGGCACTTCGGTCTCTTCGCCTGCCTCTGGTGGGGCCAGATCGGCTTCAAGTCTCGTGCTGATGGCCTTGACAAGATGTAAATTCCGTCGCCTTGTGTTGTGAACGTGAATGTACAGCTTTAATATGAAGGATACGTTTTTGTCGATCGCACACTGCTCCACTTAACGTGCACCAGTGAAGTCAGTTCATTTGACAACGTTGTAGCTCTACTCGCGTGCATTTGGAAACGTGTCACGACCCATACAGTTACACTGAATTCGCCTCCCCAGTAGCAAGGAAATGTGCCTAAAGCTGCTAAAGCAAGTTGCGGAACATTTAAATCACCATACCCTACAAGTCTATTCGCTCGTATACAAGACCCGGGGATTTAGTCCATTCTTTGGAATAGTAGACTCGGGGTAGACATATTTTCGTGACAGGTAATTTAATTTGTGTAAGGCAGGTTCACCTCCCACCCAGATAAGCAATCCACATGGATCCTGTTATGAGTTGTAATGGAGAGTGCGCGGAATAATGAATAACGAAGCTGTGACTTAATGAACTGTCGATTACAATGAAGGCACGCGATTATATAGTGAGTGTCCTAGCTAGGAGGGAACCTCGGGAAACGAGGTTGGGTGCAGGTTTGGCGACGGAATGCCGAAGGCGACGCGGAGGAGCCTCGGCATCGTTGATGTCGGCCGAACGTGCGAAGTCCGAAAATCGGGGTTGTACGCGTAGCAGTCAACCCCGGTAAGGATAAAGGAAAAATCCTTACAGATCCCGTCTGTCAGAAAAGCATTAGCCTTAGGAGTCATGGCTAGAGACGTGAGTGGCGAGAGGGTTTCGAGAGAGGTTGGGGTTTCACTAACAACAATACCGTACAAGATATTGCAAGGGAAGATGGGGAAAGAGAGTACACCACCAACAAAGAAACTAGGTAGATGATACTACACTTCTACTTTAGCATGCAGTTAAACATAAAATTCAACATCCCCCCAAATATACCTGGGTCGGCGGGAGTGCGTAGCTAGCTTTAGCCAGCAGCAAAAATAGTGAACCCCGTGTTGAGATTAGGAGCTAGGGAGATGGTATTGAGTCAAGAGGGTTTTGGCCAAAGAAAATTTTTGGTGCTGACGAATGAACCATGCCTGCTGCATTTTCCTGCTGCATTTTCTGCACATGTTCGGATCCTTCCGCGTTTTGGGGATGGAAAGGAAATGCAGCGGGCGCTCTTCATTCGCGACCACCGATGACCGATGATGCTCGCAACCCTCCCACGCCCTTGGTAACTTGGGAATAGGCCAAGACGAGCGCAGCCACGTGACCCGGCGGAAGAAAAACGCTCGGAACGAGCGTTTCCAGCCCCAAAACGCGGAAGGATCCGCACGTGTGCAGGAAATGCAGTGGTCGCTCTTCATTCGCGACCACCGATGACCGATGATGCTCGCAACCAGGGCTTTTTTTTGGATTTACACTACTCGGATTTCCAGAGCTGTTTTCTAGGGAACTCTGAAATTCAGGGTTAATTATGAGCGTTACTCTGTTTTGTCAGAGAAAACTTAACTTCTGGAAAATATGCTCTGGGCAGTCAGTGTAACTATTTTTCCAACTCTGAGTGTTCTCTCAAGTATTGAACCCAGGCCTTCTGCACTCCTACCAAAATATAACCGTTGCGCTACGCGCTTAACAGATATTAGCTGACGGACGTTTTATAACTCGGCCTAACCATCTTCCACCAATTGGGGTGGGGGGGGCTCAGTCGAAATGCCTATACCCTATACAGAGAAAAACACATTCGCCACAAATATACACTGGTCTCTCAGAGTAGCTAAAATCAGAACCCAGACAAATCAGAGAAAACCTATCTTCCAAAAAAATTACCCAGACACGTCAGAGTGACCCCCTAAAAACCACTCTGATTTTCAGAGAAACAGAGTAATTTACTCTGATAAAAAAACCCCTGCTCGCAACCCTACCACACCCTTGCTGGCTTTGTAATAGGCCCAGACGAGCGCAACCACGTGACCTGGCGGAAGAAAAAACGCTCGGAACGAGCGCTGCAAAAAACGCGGAAGGATCCGCACGTGTGCAGGAAATGCAGCGGGCGCTCTTCATTCGCGACCACCGATGACCGATGATTCTCGCAACCGTCCCACGCCCTTGCTGGCTTGGTAATAGGCCCAGACGACCGCAGCCAAGTGACCCGATGGAAGAAAAAACGTCCGGAACGAGCGCTTCCAGCCCCAAAACGCGGAAGGATCCGCACATGTGCAGGAAATGCAGCGCGCGCTCTTCATTCGCGACCACCGATGACTGATGATGCTCGCCACCCTCCCACGCCCTTGCTGGCTTGGTAATAGGCCCAGACGAGCGCAGCCACGTGACCCGGCGGAAGAAAAAACGATCGGAACGAGCGCTTCCAGCCCCAAAACGCGGAAGGATCCGCACATGTGCAGGAAATGCAGCGGGCGCTCTTCATTCGCGACCACCGATGACCGATGATGCTCGCCACCCTACCACGCCTTTGCTGGCTTGGTAATAGGCCCAGACGAGCGCAGCCACGTGACCCGGCGGAAGAAAAAACGATCGGAACGAGCGCTTCCATTCCCAAACGCGGAAGGATCCGCACATGTGCAGGAAATGCAGCGGGCGCTCTTCATTCGCGACCACCGATGACCGATGATGCTCGCCACCCTCCCACGCCCTTGCTGGCTTGGTAATAGGCCCAGACGAGCGCAGCCACGTGACCCGGCGGAAGAAAAACGGTCGGAACGAGCGCTTCCATTCCCAAACGCGTAAGGATCCGCACATCTGCAGGAAATGCAGCGGGCACTCTTCATTCGCGACCACTAATGACCGACGATGCTCGCCACCCTCCCACGCCCTTGCTGGCTTGGTAATAGGCCCAGACGAGCGCAGCCACGTGACCCGGCGGAAGAAAAAACGCTCGGAACGAGCGCTTCCAGCCCCAAAACGCGGAAGGATCCGCACGTGTGCAGGAAATGCAGCGGGCGCTCTTCATTCGCGACCACCGATGACCGACGATGCTCGCCACCCTCCCACGCCTTTGCTGGCTTGGTAATAGGCCCAGACGAGCGCAGCCACGTGACCCGGCGGAAGAAAAAACGCTCGGAACCAGCGCTTCCAGCCCCAAAACGCGGAAGGATCCGCACGTGTGCAGGAAATGCAGCGGGCGCTCTTCATTCGCGACCACCGATGACCGACGATGCTCGCCACCCTCCCACGCCTTTGCTGGCTTGGTAATAGGCCCAGACGAGCGCAGCCACGTGACCCAGCGGAAGAAAAACGCTCGGAACCAGCGCTTCCAGCCCCAAAACGCGGAAGGATCCGCACATGTGCAGGAAATGCAGCGGGCGCTCTTCATTCGCGACCACCGATGACCGATGATGCTCACCACCCTACCACGCCTTTGCTGGCTTGGAAATAGGCCCAGACGAGCGCAGCCACGTGACCCGGCGGAAGAAAAACGGTCGGAACGAGCGCTTCCATTCCCGAACGCGCAAGGATCCGCACATGTGCAGGAAGTGCAGCGGGCGCTCTTC